GTAGTCATTGTTAGGGTACTTAAAAGCAAGATAGTAATATATCTCCATTGTAATATTCCAAACTATAGTTGAACCTGTTTTTTTCGTAGAAGACTGGATGTAGTCCCAAGATAGGGGCGAACCAGTATAATCCCTCTGGTGTTAAGTTTTTCTATCCCTATCTCTTATTCCTTTGTTATTGTTACTTACTTATCTAATTTTAGCCTGTGCAAGGAGAAAATCAAATAGTTCCTGTTTGAAGAACTTATAGGATGATCGATTTATCTATTTTTTTTTTCCTTACAATTAGTATCAGAGCGTTTGGTTTAGAGGGTCATGGGATCGGCAAATAAGTCAGGTTTTGAAGGAATCATGAAGTTTGATGGGGCCAATTTCAGATATTGAAAGATGCTGATTAATGATTACTTGACCTGCAAGAAGTTGAATAAAACTTTAAAAGAACGACTCGCATGGATAAAAGATGAAGATGGGTTAGAGACAAATGAACAGGCAATTTCCATTATCAGATTGTGTTTGTCGATGAATGTGGCAAGTCTCGTAGCAAACGAAACGATAACAATAGATCTGATGAAAGTCAAGATCGAGACCAGTTATTTCTGATATTTTGTTTTACAAGTTTTTGAACTTGTAGGAGAAGCCTTGAAGATTTTTTCAAGAAGATCAGAAGTTGTTGCAGAAGAAACCTTGGAGTTTTACAAGATTATCAGAGACTGCTGTTGCAATGAGAGTCAAGATCGATGTTTTGTCTCCAAGTGAGAGATTGTTGGGATAATGAGACCAAAATAGATGACCCGTGTCCTACGAGGAAAAAGATTTTCAACACTATTGTCAATTCCTACGAGGAATGAGATATTATTGTCTTATAAGGATTACAATATTGTTTTCCTATGAGGATTGAGATATTTAACCTATTATAAATAGAACCATTTTGTTAAGGTTTCATTTGTACAGAATCCAAATAAGAGAGACTTGAGTGGTTGTAGGTACTGTGTGAAAAAGGAGTTTGTATCTCGTGGGTTTAGTGAGAGTATTTTCAATTGTGTAATCCAAGGTAGCCATTGTTAGGATACTTAGAATCAAGATAGTAATATCTTAAGTGAGATCTCGATTGTAATATTCTCAATTATAGTTGAACTTGCTTTTTCGCTGGACGTAGTCTCAAGATAGTGGCAAACCAGTATAATCCTTATGGTGTTAAGCTTTTCTATCCTTATCTCATCCTTTGTTACCTGTTTGAAGAACTTACAGAAGGATCTATTTTTTTCCCAATAGGGATTAGAGACTAGTTCGAATTTGATATAGGAATTGGTTGGAATGTGTTCTTATCTATTAATAGGTTTTTGGCTCACCCCACTAAAAAATTAAAAAATAATATTTTTTTGTGAACTCGTTTAAAATTATCATGTTACCTTGACTAGTCACCAATTAATATCAATTAATTGCCAGTCATCTCATATATCAGGTAAACTAAAGTCAAATAAGCTAAAAGCCCATTTAAAACTATTTTCTCAACTTCAGGGAGTAAAGTGTTTATTTTAAAACTTTAGAGATCAAATAGACACTAAACTCAAAATGAACCTATTTTGCCCAAAGAATAAATATATCGAGTAAAATACATTTTTTATTTGTAGAGTTTAGGTAGAATTTAGATCAGTGTCTATTTGGTCTCTAAAGTTTTAAAAGTGACCCTTTAATCTTTTAAATTTAGAAAATTATTCAAAATGATATGATGAGTTAAGCTGATGTGACACTTAATTTGGTGCTTGGACTCTACTAACGTGGCATTTTATGAGTTCACTACAACTCATAAAATGCCACATTCATGTGGCATTATTTTTCTACTTTTTTTAAATAATGCTAAATTAGAAACTTAAAGGCAAAATATACCTCTCCCGAAGCTTGTTTCAAGAATAATACTAGAAAAATTGTAGGTCGTAAAAGGTGACCTACAATTTTGAAACTTATTCTTTTAGGGTGAACTGAATCAACCTGAACTTATTATTAATTTTAAAACTATTTCTTTTACTCATCATAAAAATTATACATAATTATATTTATTTTTGATCGATTTCCTTTCTGTAATGTGGTGTATAAGTTGATTTCTAAGGTATTGGTTAACAGCCTGAAACGAGTGCTAGTTTCGTTCATACTGGGTCGTTGTGTAGTCGTCGATGCGATTTTCGGACGTGAGTGTGTGTTCATTTTCTGAAATCTTGGTGGCAAGGAAAGGTTGGTTGGCAGTGTTGAAACTCAATATGAGTTAGGTCTATGACCTGGTCGAGTGAGTATTTGTTGAACATATTATGCTTGAGCTTGCCTTTGCAGAGTCATGGGTGTATATGAACTTATGGTCTATGAATTTAATGTCTTATTCTTTCATTCTCAATGGTGAATGGGTTCGGCATATTATTCCAAGTCAAGGACTCCAGCAGAGGGATCCACTTCTCCCCTACCTTTTTCTCCTGTGTATAGAAGGTTTTTCTTGTTTCCTCCACGGGGTGAAGCGACGACGTACTCTTACCAATTTATCTATTGCACGGTAGAGCCTCCTCTCTCACACATTTTCTTGGTAGATGATAGCCTTCTTTTTTAAGTTGGAAGGGAAAAAGGGAATGTGGTCCGAGATATTATACGCTATTTCGAACGTGCATCTGGGCAGACTATAAATTTTGAGAAGCCTGTTATTTCATTCCGTTCTAATACGCTACGGGCCTCATGTCGGGAGCTTAGTTCTATTTTTGTTGTTAGTGAACTCAGTGTCATGAACAGTATCAGGGGTGTCTCATCTTCCAGATGGATTCATTTGGCATTTCGACATGGCAACTGGCTTCTGATGTGTTCGATTCTGTTCCAACATGGTGTGGATATTCCAAATGTCTATTAGTTATGCAGTTGTGTTGGGGAGGGTGATCTTCCACTGTTGAGATAACGAAGCTAAACTATCATTTTTCCTATAGGTAAAAGGTTTTGTTGAATTTTTCCTTTTTTCCTTTAGTTTTCTTTTAAGCTGTAAGTTCCAATTTGATTTTTAATTCCATTTCAATTGTAACTAGAATCCGGCATAATACTTTGTTTTTTTGTTTAATCCAAAATGTTTCGTACTAATGGAGATAATTATCCATGCTCTTCTTTACTCAATGTGAGACTTTGTTTGCATTATCATTACAAATCCAACCTCCACTTGTTATGGTTCTGTGATGCGGCTTTGTCCTTTTGGTCACATCCTCATTTCGGTTATCTCCTGCATTTCGGGCTATCCCCAATTATCTATTTTTCTTAATGGGTTTACAGGAAAAACTTCAATGGGATGACTTTGAAGGCCTGCTGTTTTTCTCTAGGTCATTTGGAACATTCATAATTGGGTTTGTGTACTAAGGGAGTCTCCTACTGGTTCGATGGGTGATTGGGCGACGAACTATATTAAGAGCTAACGAGCGACCATGACCCAATTCAGTCGTTCTTGCGTGATGTAGGTTCATAGTGTGTTCATTGCAGGTGGCATCCTCCTAAGCTTGGGTGCTACAATGTGAATACTGATGTTTCCTCTCTCCTCCTCTTCGCAGTTTGGCCTTGGTCTTATTGTTCGTGATTCCAAGGGGCATCTTCTTCTCGGAGAATCTCTGTTTATCCCTCATTGTGTTTGCATCTTCTTCTTGGAGCGTCTCTGTTTATCCCTCATTGTGCTTCAGTGGACTTGGCAGAGGCCATGGGTGTTCGAGAGGGTTTGTCGTGGCTCTTGACATAGGTTTCGTCGGAAACCGATTCCTTACAGTGTTTTCATCTTTTGTAAGGATCTCTCTGATGTGGGGCGTCTTCTTTATGATTTACGTGGGTGTTGCTATTTCTCTGATGTGGTATGTTTCAATTTTACCCTCCATGAAGGAAACAGAGCGGCGCATCAGTTGGCATCTATGGCAGTAGTCACCATTCTTCTATGGTTTTGCTTAAAGATGACTAGGAAAGTTTCTGGAGTTGTTGCTGAGATTGTTCTTCTATTTTTGCTTACTGATTATTTTCTTTGCTACCATCTCAAGAAAGAAAAAAAAAAAAAACTAACTTTTAAAGTCTTTTTAGTATACTTTTTAACCATATAAATAAGCATAGACATACATATCTTAATTAAATATAAGACAGTATATAAATAAATGTTTAACATATTATTATTTATTTTTTTCTCTTTTGTTATACAATATTTTGAATAAATGATCCGAATAATCCGAACCAACCAACCAAAAATTTTTAACGTTGGATTGGATTAGGTTTATTATAATAAAGGTTGCTTGGGTTAAATAAATTTACCACCTAAACAATTGAGTTGGATCTAAAAAGTACTTCAACCAAATTTCATGAACACTTCTCCTGAGTAGCCAATTTGAAAATTGAATCTTAATTTAAATTTTTGAATAGTTGCAGAGTATATCTAGTGATATATTTGTAAGCCAGTACTAGTTACTACCAAACTTTAGTTCACTATAAAATATTATTAATTAATTTATTAAAATATATATTATAAACTTGTATAATTATTAATACATTAGGCTTTACATGTTCTAATTTAACCAATTTATAACACCAAGTAATAGATTTAGCAAAGTTTTAATATTTTTTAACTAACTCTGCATTACAAAATTTAAAATTTAAAATCTAAAAATTCTGAATGTTTATTTTCAGATTTTCTACTATTTAAATTACAGTATCCAAAAACAATTAAAAAAAAAACAAATCTACTATATATCTGAAAACAACAACTATAATTAAAATGATTACAACGTGTCTACCCAAAATTTCATCAAACTAAAGATAAATACTTTCAAAATTAAAACTAAATCCAAACGGCGGAAACAAAATTTGAAAAATATAACGAATTGTCGTGTGACAATCCATCAGCCCGAGAAAGAGGACGAACCCGCCACGTGTCGCAGATCCGTAGCATCTGTTCCCCACACGATCTCTCTAATTATAGTACCAAAATTCTGCCGCGCTGTGATTATTATTTATAAAGCAGTGGCTTCGCCGTTACTCTTTCTGACACCCTAATTTTGTTCCGAAAAAAAAAAGACAAAAGAAAAGAAAAAAACCAGCCCCCAATTCTTCCCCTTCCTCCTCCAATGGCTTCTTCTTCTTCCGGAGATTGGGGGTTGATTTTTTCCCTTCTTCTGCTTTTTCTGTTTGTTTCCCGAGTAAATTCTCTCACCTGCACTTCCCGGAAATTCTCCAACAACAATCTCTATTCTCACTGCGCCGATCTCCCCTCCCTCTCCGCATTCCTCCACTGGACCTACGATTCTTCTAATTCCTCTCTCTCCGTCGCATTCGACGCATCTCCGGCCAAATCCGGCGGATGGATCGCCTGGGCGGTGAATCCCAAGGCCGACGGTATGGTCGGCTCTCAGGCCTTCGTTGCCTACCTCGCCGACGGCGTTCCTACTCTTAAGACCTACAATGTCGCCTCCTATGGATCTGTGGAGCCCGCGAAGCTTTCGTTTGAGGTTTGGGACACGGCGGCGGAGTTTTCAGGCGGCGTATTGACGATTTTCGCGAAACTGAAGGTGCCGGAGGCGGCGAAGAAGGTGAATCACGTCTGGCAGGTCGGGCCGTCCGTCGAAGGAACCAGCCTTGGCACACACGACTTCGCAGCGCCCAATCTGAACTCGAAAGGAGCCCTAGATTTGTCCGGCGGTGGCGGCGGAGGCGGAGGATCGACTGGCGCCGCAAGCGGCGGAGTCGATTCGCGAACGAAGAGGAAAAATGTGCGATCTCTCGGCTTCTCGATTTGATCGGAATTTTGTGGTTCTGTGTGTTCGTATTGATTCGAATTTGATTTGATTTGATTTCCAGATTCATGGAGTTCTGAACGCTGTGAGTTGGGGGCTTCTGTTCCCGATCGGAGTTGTGATTGCGAGGTACCTTAGGGTTTTCCCGGAGGCGGATCCGGCGTGGTTTTATCTTCATATTTCGTGTCAGATTTCGGCGTACGCCATTGGAGTGGCCGGGTGGGCGACTGGTTTGAAGCTTGGGAGTGAATCGGTAGGGTATCAGGCTACCGATCACCGGAATATTGGAATTGCGCTCTTCGCCATGGCCACTTTGCAGGTATTTTCGTTTTTTCCTTCCCATTTTTTACTCTGTCTCGGAATTAGTTGCTTCTGTTTCGCCATTTTTCTTTCCCAAGCTCTGCAAATTTTCCCGGAAAATTATCGTAAAGAACGCCGAGAAAGTATCTTTTCTTTACTTTGATTGATGATGGTGATTGATTGGGAGAAAGAATATTAGGAAAATCATATTTATTTATTTTTAAAATTAAAGTAGCTAAAGAAAGAATTATTCATTTATTTTTAATGGTGTTCGTGCATTCTCTATTTCTCTCTGTGATTATTATTATATTTGTTCAAATAAGTAAATTTGGTTTAGCAACTTGATTTAGAATATGTTCTGTTTTCTTTCTAAACTTAATTATACTTATTCCATACATGAATGGAAATACAAGAACGATTTTGTTTTTTCCCTTTTCCAAACGGTTTTAAAATTTTAGAAATAATATATAAAGTAATCTTCTTTTAATTAAAAAAAGGCACCTTTTTTTTTTTTGAAAGAGAAAACTTTCATCTGGTTGATTTTTAAATCTTACTTTGTTTCAAAAATTTCAAAAATTATTTTTAAATCTTTAGCTTTTCTACTCTCAACTTTTGCACTTTGTTTTAGGTCCTAATTTTTTCAAAAAGCTGTTTTAATTTTTAAGTAATTTTTTTATTTGTAATTTAACATGATTACATGTTATTTCAAATATTTGTTTGGATATATTTTTATTGATTTGGGTGATGATGAAAAGATTTGTTTATTCGTTTCAAAAAAAAATGAAAGATTTGTTTATGCTAAATATTTATTGAATATTTTATTAATAAAATTAAAAGAAAGAACAATTAAAAAGAAGAATGATTTTTTTAATGGATAATTGAGAGGCTAAAATAAAATATTTAAACATTTAAAAATGTCAATTAAAAAAACTTTAAAAATTTAGAGACCAAAATATAATTTAAGTATATTTAAATAAATGCTAAATTATACCAAATCTTCTATGTTGTTTTCGAATTTATCTTTTAAAATCTTTAAAGTTTTACTTTTACCTTCAATATTTTAATTTGTTTCAATTTGTTTCAAGATAAGTTTCTGTCAACAAATTTTAAAATTGAAACTCAACTTCACAAGGAGGGGAATTTGCAACGAATTCTGTTTGTGAGAAATATAGATTTTTGGTTTCTCATTTTTCGAGAAAGATTTACAAAAAATTGTTTGGAAACAACAAAATCAAATTTATTTATTTATTTGGTTTGCAAAAACATCGTTTTAACTTAAATTATGAAATGCATAATAAATATATATAACATAAAAAATTTAATGCTTAATTTAAAAAATGAAACTTCTAAAATTTAAAATTTTAGAGAATTTATTTTTTCAATTGAAAAAAACAAGAAAGAAGTAGAAATAGAAAGTGGTTTGTTGATTTGTTGTTTGTTTGGGCAGATGTTTGCACTGTTCTTACGACCAAAAAAAGACCACAAATTCCGAGTGTACTGGAACATCTACCATCACAGCGTCGGATACTCCATCATCATCCTCAGCATCATCAACATCTTCAAAGGCTTCCACATACTCAACCCCGACCACAAATGGAAGTCGGCCTACATCATCGTCATCGTCACTGTCGCCGTGATCGCCCTCCTCCTGGAAGCCTTCACTTGGGTTGTGGTGTTGAAGAGGAAGAGCTCTAACAAATCTACCAAGCCTTACGACCCCAAAACCCGACCATAGACGCTCGGTCGGGCACCCGGGRAAGCAAGCAAGGCTTCTTCACATAGTAAGACTTTGTCACTCTTATATATAATTTGTTTATTGTTGGTGTTCTTGTGGTGGTTTGGTTTGGTGAGGTTCTTCCATGTGAGAGCCCTCTTTGTATAATTAGTTCATCTTAGTTTTGCAAATATTCATTCTCAACTCACTCACTCACTACTTCATGCATGTGTTTATTTTATTTTTCTCAAGTGGGACATGGATTAATTATAATGCACAACTCAAATGAATTGTATTTTATATACATTTTATTAAAATATTTTACTTCTTTTTGTTTTATTATAAAATCATTGCTATACTGCTCCCAATCAAATTATAAAATAATTTGTCAATAGTGTAGGGTAATTAGTATATATCTCCAACCAAGAGGTTGTGAGTTCGATCTCTCATCCCTACATATTGTATCAAAGAGGTTGTGAGTTCGATCTCTCATCCTTACATATTGTATCAAAAGATAATCATAAAAGCAATTTTTAACATGACTAAAATCACTATATACCATGCATTTCTTTTTTTTTTAGAAAAATGAAATTACGTAAATGAGTTGCTTTTAGAATTTCAGAATCCATTTGGTAACGTTCTCATTTTTTTTCCTAACAAATCTAAGCATTTTGCTACTATTATTTCTTGTTTCTCCTGTCTTGAAACATTCTCAAATTTTTTAGAAAGTGTGGTAATAACCAAATAAGTTTCTTATTTCTAGTTCATATTTTCAATTTGTTTCGTAAAATTGTTTTATCATATTTGAATTCATTGATATTGGAGTCATAAAATTATTTTTCTTTATTAAAAATGAAGAAAACGAAAACAACAAATAGAAAGAACAGGCTCTTAACTACTCCGATTAATTAACTTGTCGAGTGTGATCAATGTTAGTTCGATTGGTACGATTTTTTGAAAATGGTTGTGCATTGGACGTAGATTTATGGAAGAGAAAGAGGACATGATTTATAATGAATGTGACTAGAGAAGTGGCTAAAGTCACGGGGCCGTTCACGCAAGTAGTCAAAATTTCCCTAGGCTCCAAGTGTACTAAATTACATAAAAAATAATAATAATAATAATAATTAAAAAAAAAAAGAAAAAAGGAAAACTAAAGTTACATCTAACAAGCACACCTCCACTTATTATAGTATTAACAATTAATTGATTTTTTTTAATAAAGTGTGAATTATTGCTTCTTTTCCCCACAAAACGTGCTTTTCCACTTCATTCCTTTTCCTTTTCCTTTTCTTTTTATTTAATTGTTCCTTTTTCTTTTCGATGGAGATAAAGATGAAGTTTGAAAAAAAAAAATCCAAAACTTTGGACTAGTTGATTTGAACATCTAATCGAGTTGAGTTATGTTCTGATTGGATATTATTAATATAAACAAGTATATTGGTTAATATACTTACCCGCTTGTTGGAGTTCTTATCCAAACATGTGTTAGTTTAATGTGGTTCAAATTTTTTTTTTTTAATTTTCGATTTCGTTTCAGTCCCTAAACCCTAAACCTATATATATATATATATTTAAATAAGTTTATTCCTTCTCAATTTCTATATATCAAATTCCTACGAAGGAAAAGAGATGCCTATACTAAAATATTGGCTGTAATGATCTACAATATTCGTGGAATAGCTTTTACTTCTTTTGATGCGTAAAAAACAAAAACAAAAACAAAAAAGGAAACTTCTTCTTCATTTTGTATTCTTTGCTAATATTATTGGCCTAACCTTTTTTTCTTTTTCTTTTTCCTTTTCCTTAAGAAAAAAATATTTTCCAATTAAAAAAAACAAAGCTATTTGCTTAAAAGAAAACCTTAATAAAAATGTTAGACAATATTAAATATAAATATGGAAATGTTAGGGATGCACAAGAAACTGAAAAATGAAGTTCAATCAATTAGGTTAGGGATGCCCAGTCATTTTGCATCGAAACATTATGTTCAACAATTCTAAAACTCTTTATCTTGTGAAGTTTTTCCTGATCATCATTTCGTGTGGTTCTCTTGAAATTTGAATTATTATCATGATAAGCACAAAATGAATAATTATTTATTCCTCTACCGTGGTCACGACCTCAACCACGACCTACTTCGACCACGATTGTTAAAATTTATAATATTCGTTTCATGGAATTTTGTAACTACAGATGGCTAAGATTCATGATTTTCATAAATAATTCATTATTGTGCTCAGCCACGAGAAGACATGATATAAGTTCAGAATATTTTTTAGAACATTTCTCTCGATATTATTGCTGCAAGAGCATATTCAAGACATAAAAGGCAAAAAATGTATTCTCTAATATATCTCCATCAGTAATTTTCTCTCTGCATAACGCACAATTTTGAACTGATTTTAAATAATCACTGATTTGAAATCTTGGAGTCTCAGGTGTATCCACTCATAACAAGTTTTAGGAAGAATATGTTGAAAATTTTAAATACTAGTAAGAAACACGTGCGGTGCACGTGAAATTTCCTAGTTTTTATTTCAACGTTTAAAAATATAAAATTTAATTAAATAGTTAAAATTTATAATATAATTTGGTTTTTTTTCTCTAAATGTTTACCTCACCAAGTTTTTTCATATTTTCAATGTTTATCTCATAAAACAACGTCTCAATAATTCTCATCACCCATTGATGTGGTTAGTGTGACTAAAAGTATTATTCTTCAATTACTTAAATTTCTTTTTAAAAAAAACACATATTCATGGATTTTTCATCATTTTTTTCCGTAAACATAACAATAAATAAAAGTAAATACAACTTTGTTTCAATTTCTTATTTGAGTCATTGAAAAATAAAATGACAAAAAAAAAAATAATGAGAGATAGAGATGCGTTCAGGACAGCTGTTCTTTGCTATGTTGGAGTTCCAGTCCAATTCCTTGCCCTATCTCGTCAGGAATGTCAACCACAGCCATGTTCCGATGGATTGCTCCGACTATTTTCATCACATGATGATCACCTTACCAAGGAGGAGGTCATTGAGAGAGTCCTCGCGGTTATCAAGTGTCATCCCAAAGTAGATCCGTCCAAGGTGATTCGACCTTATCACTCATTTTCACTTTCCTTTTTCCAGTTAATTGAGTCGTTTGGAAAAAAAAATAACTAAAAAAGTTGAATATTCGATCAAACAATCTAACTAAATATAAGAAAACACAAGACATTGACTAAAGGAGAAAATTTACCTACCGAAAGAGAAAAGAAACTCAAGTTTTGATGAAGAAAAAGTTGGGAGAAAGAGTAAGAAAAAAACTCTTTATATAGGTGTAAAAAATAAAAGTTACGAAACTTTTGAAATTCTTTATTAATTATAATTCAAAATAAGTTATAACTTTTTAACATAGAAATAAAGAGATAAAACTTCATATTCTAACTCTTTATATTCTAACCTTTAACGGGGAGAGTTTATTAGAAAGAGAAAATTAATTTGAGAAATGTAAAATTTGTAATAATGGAGATTAAATATTTTAAAAGAAATGAAAAAAAAAAAAGAAAGTGGCAATTGGAAGGAGAGAAAGGGGGTGAGAGAAAATTTTATATTTGAAGGACAAAATTGCCCTCAAAATATCTATAGGAATGTTGAAACTAAAAGGGCAAAATAGGGAGAAAGTTTCTCCCTAGAACTCATTTTATATATACTATAGATATAGATTTTATATTTATCATTTTATTTCATTATGTTATTTTTCTCATTTAACTTGGTCAGTCAACTCTTTCTAATAATTAGGAAGAAATTGTTGCAACTAGACTAAGATAAACTTCCTAGGGTGTGTTCCAGCAAAGTTTCCCGCAAGTTGTTTTCTGTAAAATACACAGAGTTGTTTTTTAGTTTTATGATTTTGAGCATATACAAGCATTTGTGGATTCCTAAGAGAATTGAGCTGCTAAAACAAGGATTGTTGTATCTTCGGAGTGGAGTGTCAAATAACTCAGTGTAGTGGGGGCACATATTCTCTATAGACAACATTTACGAACTTATCTCAATCCATAATTTGTAGGCTTTTCTTATTTTTAATGTTGATTAATTAAATTAAATATATGTATCTATTATTTTAGAAATATCTTTCTGTAATATATTTCTAACAGAATAACTGTTCTATGATGATCATATCTCTCTTTCAAACTTTACCATAAAACGTGAGGATATTTTATTATCAAATATTCCATCTTCAATCGTTCATGGAAATTATGAAGAAGGGATAGTTTAGGTGGCTTGGGGCTTGAAGACATATTCTTGAAGTCTTGGGTTCAAACTACAAAGAACCCAACTCTAGTACGGGGACAGTGCGCATAACCCCAAGTATAATTTTTGCAGGGTCGAGCCCCGCTCCAAAAATAGGAAATGTATGTCCCGTCCCCAATTTCATTTTTTAAATAATTAATTTATATTTATTACACTTTTCATTTTTTAAATTCTAAAAATAATTAAAATTAATCATAAAACGGGTAATTTTTCATGAGAAGATCTCTCAGACCAAAGAACAAGGTGGAGACGAAGATTAAAAATTTTCACTAGCACGAAAGTGAGAGAGAGCATCCTCACTCTCACTCACGCTATTGTCATCTAATTTTCTCTCTCTATATTTTCAATATTCTAACTTTTTAAAACAAAAAACTCAAAATGGTTATAAAAATTTCTGGTTTTCTATTTTAAAAAAAATAAAAAAGGGTTATCAGACATAAAATAGAAAACCAAAAACCAAAAGCAGAAATCGTTATCCAACTGCCCGAAGTTTTTTTGTTTCTTGTTCTTATTTTTAGTTTTTTTTTTCCCTTCAAAACCTAAATAAAAGTATTATTTTATCATATTTTACTTTTAAAATGTATAATAAATATAAGATAAAAGAATTTGAATATTTACTTTAAAATTTTACTTTTTATAATTAAAAATTATAGAGAACAAGGTATAAGAAGTTGTTACAAAACATGCTTTTGTTTTGTTTTTCAAGAAAAACAAATAGCAAGATACAAGAAAGAATTACCAAACACAGTTATGGTTTTATTTATCGAAAAAGATGAAATAAAAAACAAAAAAGGAAAATGTTAGGTCTCATTTGGTAACATTTTTTCCTCTCTTTTTTAATAAAGAAAGATATAATTCCATTTGATAACTAATTCTTGTTCTTATTTATTTTTTTAATTGAAAAACAAAACTTGATTTTGTTGAAACTGAGAACAACAGGCAACAAACTTGTTTTTTCTTTTTCAAAAGTTCTATCTTTTGGGAATATTTAAAAAAAATGA